GAATTAGTTATTGAACATATTTGCATAGCTTCCATGATTGTGGATCCGCTTTATTACTAAAGGGTTTCCACATAAGTTCTATAGTGAGCATATTGCTCATATGAGAGTGGAACTATATAAGATACTTCGGTTTAGTGGGAGCTAATTAGTAGTGTTCAAATACTATTAAAGTTACTTTGGTTTACACTGCACAGTTAAGTATTCAATGTTCAATATTCAGTGTGCAGTGTTCAGTTTTAATTCAGTATTTAATTGTTCTGAATTAAAGTTAAGGTGGATCAGTTGAAAATAGGCATCTTAAGATTACATTATATGAAATTTCCATGTTGTGCATCCGCACTTGATCGAATCTTAGGTTATATTAGTGTTGTGACCACTGATCGGTCCCATTGCGATAAATGCAGTGACGGCCGCTTTGATCCGCATTAACGTGACTTATAGATAAGATTGGTAATATACATTAAAGGATCTGATAGCAAAATTTCATGAGCTCATAAGGTTATTCAGTGTACATTTACTTAAGTGGGAGATTGTTTGATTAAAAATCCAATTATGGGTTAAATGTAACTATTTGGGCTATCAGTCAGATTAAGCCTATATTAAGTGATTTATTAATTTATTGGGCTTAAATGTGTTTAGTAAGTGTAGGCCTCCAATGTATAGAAACCCGGTAATTTATTAATTGGGTGATGAGACCAATTAATAATAAGGGATATAAATAGGGTTGTGATCCCAGGTTTAGACGCAATATCCATTACATTCCATATCTCATCGTGGGAGTAACGGCAGAAACCCTAGCGGTTTTCTCAGGAAAGGTTGCGCCATAGGCTTGAAGAACACAAAACTTTCCATTGTTTGCAGATCCGAATTCGACTATACTAATGGAATAAGGTTAGATTTATTTTGCTTTATTTTTATCTCAATTATGACAACACGGTAGATCCTGGGCTTAAGGTTGAATTCCTGGTAAGTTCCAACACACTAGTGATCAAGATGATAAAATGAATTTGCATCAAGGTAACCACCCAAAGAGAGAAAAAAAAAATGAAGAAGATGAGGATTAAAATGTTTTTTTTTTTACAAATCCAATAATAATTTTGGAAAAATAAATGTAGGGAGTAGTTTATAAATGATAACTAAAAGTGGGGATTGCAGTGTTATAAATTTGTAATAGGGATTGAATTTTAACTTGTTACGTGGCAGAGGAATTTAAAACCAATTATCCCTAAAAGTAAACATGGAGTAAAAAACTAGTTCAATTCAATGGAAGTTAATGTGATATGAAAGCTCAAGTTGGGGTACAATTATTTGTAGCGTATATTTCTTTATTTTTTAAATATTTATATATTAATTTGATTTGATATTACCATGATAAAAGTAAAAAATTTATAAGAAACTAGTACAATTTTCAATTCAATGAAAGTTAATGTGATGTGAAAATCCAGGTCCAATCATTTGTAAATATGTGTCTTTAATTTAAATATATATATATATATATATATTAGATATTTTGATTTGATTTGATATTAAAGTGATACAAAGTAAAAATTATACAAGAAATTAGTACAATATTCAATTCAATGAAACTAGTATAATAATTAATGTAATTTGATATTACATGATAAAACTAAAAATTGTGTAAGAAATTAGTACAATATTCAATTTATTAAAACTAATATAATAATTAATTTGATGTGAAAATTCAGATTGTTGTATTATAAATTGGATTGTTCTATTGTAACCTACTTCAATTTCATCTCTTCTTTCTTCATACATGGCTTCCAATTGTTGATCCAAATTCTCAAAACTCTTCGAATTCTCAAAATGTGTTTGTTTATGGGTTTGAGAGTTTGTGTTTTGATTTTTTAATAGTAAAAAGTTGAATTTGAATAGTTGTTTGATGTAATATAAATATATATTGATGTGATGTTTTGAATGTAAAATAAATTTGTAGTATAATATATATATAAAAAAATTATTTGATGTGATTTTTTTTAGGGAAAAAAAAATCTGAATAGTAAAAATCTGTGTTAAAACCCACAAAAGAACACTTATGTCTAAAAGTTTTATGAATATGCTAGAAAATCAAGAATCTTCACAAAAGTCATTAAACAAAAAATCGTACTTTCAGTTACCAAACACTCCCAAATTTCTATTTTACCAAATTTTTACCCGCCGAACTTTCAAACATTTGGAATTTTACCATTTCCTTTACCATTTGGTTCAATGCAAACTACACATACAGAAGATATTCTTGAATTTTTCACACAAGCTGATAATGTGCAAATCATTACTCCAACCAAAGAGATATATATATAAAAAAAAAAAAAGTCATTAAGAAGTTCTACTACTTGTTAATGCATGGCTTAACACAAGCAATGATGTTATTACAAACACTGATTAAAAAAAATATTCTGCGTTTTGAGAGAGAATATTTGAATACCACATGGAAAACAAATTGGATACAAGCCCGCGAAGAAGTTCAAATTAGTGTAAAAACCGCTGGCAAAAAATTACTCAAACTGTATCAAAATTTGTTGGTTGTTATGAGCAAACTAACTAAAGAAGACATAGTGAGTAGTCTAGCGATGATTTCTTAAACAAGGCATAAGAAATATATTCAGCTGATTATGGTAAGTCTTTCGCATATGTGCATGCATGACATGAGTTGAAACATAAACTAAAATGAGATACGAGTTATTGTGCTATATAATTTAATCCATTTGTACATCATTTTTTTAACTACTTGAGATTTTTTATAATTGAAATATAAAATTTTAATTTCTTATTACAATATGATTGTCAAAGTCAAACTATTTTTTAGTACATTTAAAATATTTTTTTTATATATTAATTTATCGATCTCAACTAAATATTACAATTTCATATTGTCATCACGTCGTTGTCGCCATTTTGATCATACTATAATTATAATATTTTTCAAATATATATTTTAACAATATATAGAAATATCCAAACATTGAAGATAAGTATGTGTAGCGCAAATATACAAAATAATGTTATATAGATGTTGAAAAATAAGACTTAACCAAAACTCCTTCGACTACCAACAAAGAACCAACTCCCTGAATCTTGTCAATGTAACGAATGCAGAACTCCAAAGCAATAAATAAGACAATATATTTGCTAACTCAGTTCGGTTATAATTAAATCAACCTACATTTGGAAGATCTCAATCGATGAGAAGTTCTATTATGATCAACCGTGATTACAGAACTAAAACAACCACAAACTCCTCCAACATATTCTACTATGATGATTATCTTGAAAAATACCTCCACGGGCGTACTAACAACGACCACGTAATAAGGCTACTCAGATCTTGGTTATCTCCTCTGGTCAGAACTACAATAACTCTGATATCCGACAACATCTCCGGCAGAATACAATGTCAAATACACATTCAAAATATGAAGATAGAAATGAACAGAGGTGATAGCTTCAAACAATATTTTCTCTCTAAAAAATACACTCTTAAAACTTACACATGACCAAATTTTTTGTCTATCCTGGTTGTGTACACAACTTCTGAAAAATAGTTTAAATAATCCTTCAATAACTTCCCTTTGCACCGGAACGGGTTGGGATGTGTCTCAAGAAATCTGACACGTTTTGATTATCCCAAAAACTTCCTTTTTGTCCGGTGTATGGACTTGAAAGAAGAGAAAAATGAGCAACATAATTATTTTAAATAGATTGTCGGCATGAAAGGCAGCAGCATAAAAAAATGAATTTATCCATATGCCAAAACAAATAAAGGAATATTTTTATTCACAATATATATAGATCACTATTCTATTTTTATTTTATTTTATTTTTTATTTTATTTTTTATTTTCTTTTCAAAATTGTAATATGCAATTCTTATTATTCATATAAAAATATAATCACCGTCTCACATATAATGTCATATTTTCTATTTTCGTTCGTGTCACTTCTTATGTCACTTTTCTTTTTGAAAAAATATTACACATTTTAATCATATTTTCTATTTTTAATAATTTTATAATTACACAATATAAAAATGTATAACTATTGTATAAAACTTTGAAAATACATTGAAGCATCTAAAAAAACATTTACTTTTTAAAATTTTCAATACCATTTCAATAAAAATTCCTAGTTTTTACTCATGAAATATTTAAACGATAATAAAAATAAATATTTTAATAACATTTTATAATAACTAATAATAAAAACTCCAAAAAAGTTCATGAATATTTTAAAACACAACTTAAGGGTGTGTTTGTGTGTAGGTGTTTGAGTTGGATTTGGAGTATTAAATAAATAAATAAATAATTTGAATTGAAATAATTATTTAATGTAATATAAAAAATATTTGATATATGGAATATAAAATTTATTTTTAACATAATTTAAAAATATTAATAATTTAATTTGATATTTTTTAGAAAATATGTATAAATAGGAAAAATATTAAAAAAAAAAAAAAGAAAACAAAAAACTAAAGCAAACACAATTTAAGTTTTTTTATATTTTAAATATAACTGTAAATACAAATATTGGTTAATAAATAATAAAAGAATTTATTATTAATTAAATTATACAAAAATATGGTAAACATTTTTTAATAAACAAATAATAGAATGTCGACCCTTGACAGCTTGGATTGGATTGTTGTATAATAGATGTGGATTGTTTTATTACATATCCCATCAATACTCACCATCACCTCGCCACACCTATATATGTTTATTTACACAATATATTAAAGAATAATTACATATAAAAATAATTAATATTTCTTTTTTATTAATTATATAATAATGTCACAACATAAACGGGTTATTTCTCTTTTTTACAATTTTGATTTTATAGTTATTACAATTCCTCTTGTGGGCCTAACCGTATTCTATGGTAAAAAAAATTCTAATATTAATTACATTTTAAAAAATTTAATTTTTATTCCACTAAATATTATATTTAAAAAATTTATATTCAAAACGCCTAAAACACAATCAAACAGACCCATACGATTTATTTCGGCCCAAAATAATCAGGCCCAAGCCCAATATGTAAAGAAAAAGGAGCCCAGGTTGTACCCCGTGCTACCATGGTTGTACCTCGAGTTTACTAATACTAGCAGCTGCAAATGCTCAATGATAATTTCAGATAAAATTCATCACAGCATGAATGAAGAAATCTGAACAAAGTGAGTAAATTCTCAATATCTAAAATTTTAAAAATTTAAATTTTCCGACGAGGCCGACGACGAAGAGGAGACACAGTGAACTGAAAGGAGGGACTTACAAGGCATTGATCATCCTTCTCATTTCTACAGACCTCCTAGGATCGGCTTCTTCAATGGCTCTCTCGGTGAGCACATGTTTTATCCGACACATTGACTTTCGCACCTGTAAAAGTCAAAATGAGTCCCGGAAAGAGATCATTACATGGAAGTCATTAGTTACGGATTGTGTGTGCGCAACAAAACAAGATAGACGAGAAATGGTAGACCAAAGGCACAAATGAGTTATATATCGAAAGGATGAGTGCAATGAAGTGTTTATCTGTCAGCTTAATAGTCGTTTCCTTTTTTATTATCTGTCCCCCAAAGCAACTAAAGTTCATTTGATCGAACATGGAATGTCCAGCTACGAATACTTATAACATAATATGAAATTGAGTTCACTAAGAGCATGTTGCATTGAGTTTGCTTCCTACGGAGAAAGAGAACATTTTTCTATCTTTAATAAGAAATAATCGTTACATTTAAAAAAAGGCAACACATTTGAAATCCCTCGTAAACAATGAAGGTAACATATCGGTAGATGTCATTTATAGCATCGTAAAAACCATTAACTATAGCAATATAGTCGTGTTTTACTTGTATTAGCATTTCTGATCCCGTACTCTTCAATCTACCGTTGAGTTTCAATTTTCATTTTGCCAAGCAACACGTCCTACACCTATATCTATTTAAAATATTACATTAAACACATAGTCTCATAAAAATTTTCAAAATCCAAAATACTATAGTATACACCTACATTTTTGGCCTATGGTTGAGGGCTCATTTGAATTCTAATTGCATAAGTTCATGGCTTATAATTCTAGTCCCACAATTTACATCGAATTTCAATCTAAGTTGTACAACATCTTTTGATGAAAATGAGGGACTGTAATCAAATTCACGGTAACAGTTGACTATCCATCAATCTTTTGCATATACGTGCATCTCAAGCTCAAAGCAAAATTCATAAATAAAAAAAATATGGAATTCAAATTGAATTCAATCTGAACTAAGCATAAACTGCAGGATTGATGCCAAAATAACTAATAATATTATAGTTCCGATTAAATTTGTATATGCTCTAGTGAATAGATAATTAGAGGGGTCTTTGAAACGAAGATGCTATGAGAGTTAAACCATCACATTCTACATCAACCAAGAGCACAAAAACTATTCACGAGAGTAATCTATTCCCATGTGGCGGCAAAATTGTTTATAAATCACTTGTGGTTTAAAAAGTTTACACTATTCTTCCTCATGATCCCTCGTGTTCTCGAAAATATTGCATAGATCTATGCAATATTATCGAAAACACAAGAGAGTTATGTAATTTCCAAAGGATTCTGTTGAATGTTTCATAAAATACAAGGAAGTTTAGTAGAGTTTCTAAATCATGATAGAATAATACAGATTTTCCAAACCACGAGTCATTATAAGAAATTCGCCCCCATGTGGATGTGAATGAAATCTATTTCTTCATCAAAAGGCATGTGAAACAAAGTTATCGGAATACAAAAGATACCTTTGGAAGTCGTTCGGGGTTAGGAAACCGAAGGTTTTGAGCCTGCAGCATCTGACGCTGAGTCATCAACATGTTCTTCTCCTTTAGCAGAACATACCACAGCTTGTGAAGGTCATCCCAAGATTTGAGGCGTAGTTCCGAAGCCTTCCAACTCCTACCTGAGTAATATTTGAAGTCGTCCATCAGTTATAGATTTCTTGAAAAGATGAAACAAATTGACTAAGTCTTGACTTTTCGATAAGAAATTCCACAGCATATCAAGGACAACATTCTTCATGTGTAATTTATTTAAACATATAACGGAATTTAGAAAAATCAAGATGAAAAATGCATATACAAAAGACGATAATTTGGTGAACCTACGTCTAGGGATGGCCAAACCAAGTTTTTTTTCACTAGTGTTTTTAGCCTCAATTTCATAGAAAGTACAAGTATTTCAAGGAGTCAGAATAATCTCGGCCCAAAACTGTATGGGCGACCCCAAAAACAGTCCAACTTAGGACATACAGCAAACTTTCTGATAATTAGCAGAATCCTGGATTGAAATTTTACATCTTTTAACTAAAATGATAACATTGTTCATACAACTCTATTACATATAGTTGCAGCAATCGAACTCTGATCAACTCTACATTGAAATTGCAGAGAACTCAATTACTAAAGATGAATGCAAATGACAAACCTATTCTGTAAAGCAAAAAAGCTTTGCTAAGAAAACATCGAATGCATTTCTCAAAATCTTAAAATATAAGCTGTTTACAACAATCGAACTTCCTATACATAACTTATAGAATTAAGAAAAATGACAAAAACACTAAGTCAACAGTAAAAAACAAGCAGCACATGCAAAAGAACCAATAATAGCACAAAATAGCCCCAAATCAACCAAAGTACCATATATCACACGCTTCTTGTTCTCTGGATTTCTATCAGCCTCAAAGAACTCCTCAAGTGGATTCCGCAGAGCTGTAGAAGAAGCTGCAGCTGCTGCCGGAGCAGCTGAAGCCTCCGATTTGGCGGCCGCTAACAGAGTCCTTTCAAATGCTCTTCTCAGAAACATCTCTTCCCAAAAAAAGATTGTTAGACAAAGTAAGAAACATTAACATAATTCAGGCCGTAATTCATCAGACACAAAATGAAGCTCTTTCCGAGCAATTTCTCCAACAAAAATACGAAACGGAAATCCACATTCACGCCAATAACCGAAGTCTATCTCGGTTTCTTAACAATCCAGATCTTAAAATCGGTATAAACCTTATCAAAACCTCTCTCAATCCAAAATCTCTCTTGCGCACCTAGGGATGGTTCGTTACTGTGAAAATATTGACTCATACTATATTACCAGTATATACCATTTATATCGATTTTTTTCAGGACCGAACCCGCCCGCATATACCCGTAAAACCGAAATTTGTTAATATAAAATCTGAATTTTTTATGCACAGCACTACAACACTCAAAACTCAATCAGTCGCCACACTCCCATTCTATATCAAATACAACAAATTAATGAAGAAGTCACAAAACACATAAATAAAGAAAACAAAAAATGACAGAGACAAAAAATCGATACCCAAATCGACACCAGCATAACAAAAAAATTGAGAGAAAGAGCAAAAGAAATGCATACACAGAAACACCGATAGTATTGTGCGCGCGCGACTGCGAGGTGGGAAGGGCGGCCGGTGGCGAGCTTCGAGGCCGAGATGCGCGAATTAAATGGAATGCGTAGAGAACTCACCGGAACACCGTGATCGACAGTGCGTCGCCGCCGCTGGTGCCGAAGGCCGAGAATGAGAGAAATTTTGACAGAATAAACACTGAGAAAATGTAGGATATGTTTGGTTCAAAATGAGGGGAGGAGGGGAGGGGGAGCTCGGGAGGAATTTTAAAAGAGGGGAAGGGGGGAAGGGGAGGTGTAGGGTAAGGAAAAATAATATTTTTGTATTTGGTCAAGGAGGGGCTAAAATGGAAAATAAAATAATTTTAGCCCCTATATTATATAAATAAAAAAAATTAAAGTATTTAATAAAATTTAATTAATTTATTCTTAAAGTATGATATAAATTTTTTTTGTGTAATATAATAAAATAAAAATTATATTATAAAGAAAATCAAACATCATATACATAATGACCGATCTGCGTGTTTCGGTAGACATTCAATAATCGTTCGAAGTTGGTCTGAATTATTCATAAGAAAATAATATATCTGAGCTGATTTTCAATTCCACATTACTTAATCATACATGAGATATTTATTAACATTACCAATATAGATAAACCATAATTTACTTATAAATAGTAACAGAAATAATTAAAATATATACTTAATTATAAAATAAATTCGATTAAATTTATTTAAAAATATTTTAAAATACATTTGAATTAAATTAATGTGATTTGTTTTAAATAACGTAGGTATTTTTTAAAATCAAAATAAAGAAAAATAATAATTTTACATACAACTATAACAATATATATGGTAAAATTTATACAAACTAAATCAATTATAAAAATTATATTAATTTTTTAAAATATGTTTATTTGATAAAATCAATTATTATAATTAAATTCAACTATTTAAAACTAAATTAATTTTAAAAAGAAATTAAGAAAAAAATATTATATATTATTTTTTGAAAATATTACAACTAAATTTAATGGAAATTTTAATTTAAAATATTTTAAAATATATAATATAATTTAGATATATGCACAATATACATTAATATTTATTCGTATAATTTAAAATAAAATAAATAAATATTAAAATTTAAAAATGTTATAAAAATTTAATAAAATGTTAAAAAGAATATAATAGGCAAAAATTGTTTAATAAAATTCCCAAATTGGAGGGGAATAAAAATCTAAACAAATTAAATCCCCTCTCCTCCCTTCTCTTCCCCTCCCCTTTCAGAAAATTTGAACCAAACACAAAAATTTTTAAAATTTCATCAATTTTCCTCCCCTCTCCTCCCATCTCCTCCCTTCCTAAACCCTCGAACGACCTGTAATAATATACTCCCGTACTTAGGCATACGAATTAATTTATAATTAAGAATATATTAGTGAAAATAATTAATTTAGATAAATTATTATAGATTAAAATTAAGATAATTAATTAGTTTAATTAAAATTAAAAAAAAATAAATTAAAAAAAATTAAAATAGATTAAGATACGCAATCATTAAAAAAAAAATGACATGATATGTGAGATGGACAGAAAACGGCAATATGCACATAACAGGCGGAACGGGAAAGTAATAATTAATAAAAACTACCGGCCCAAATGATAAATTTCTAAAAACCCATTTTATTTAGACATTTTTATAATTTGGGCCTTACTTTTTAAAAGGCCGCCGCTACGACGCTTATATGGGCCTATAAATGAATAAAAAATAATTAAATATTGAACCAACAAGAATTTGTTATTTATGTTTCCCTGTACTTCTTTTTACAATTTATTTATAAATTACAATTTATTTATAATAATTTATATGTATTTCATTTAAAAAAAATTATTTATAAGTATTTTACACCAATATGGTGTATAAGATGTAAAACAAAACTATTTATTTATAGTCTAATAAGTTTCATTTACCACGATCCTCCTAACACGATAGATTCATTGATAATAGTTTGATTTACCTAACACGATCGATCAAATGATAGTCGTTCGATCCACCTAACACAAACCACCTAACATGATCAATTCATTGATAGTCATTCAATATATCTAGAGGTGGCAATGGTCGGGTCGGGTCGGGTTCGGGTCGGGTTGATTTGTTAAACGGGTTGATTAGGCCAACCCGAAATCGACCCGCTTATGTAAATGGATCAGACCACATGCCACGAACCCGATTCCGTAAAACCCGACACGACCCGAAATGACCTACTAACCCATTTAATAATTTTTTAAATGAGTCAGGTGACTCGACACGATCCGAAAATGACCTGTTAACCCATTTAACACAAAATCTAAATGCTTACCTATTAAAAAAAATTCTAAAATTAAAATAATACAAATTAAATAATAATTAAAGATAATTGAATAAGATAGAAATGAACATCGACAAATGTTCCACAATTTAATAAACATACAAATGATCCAAAATTCAATAAACATTAGAAACATAAATATTATACCATAATTCAACAAAACACCAACAACAATGCAAAATTGATACCGAAGTTTAATTCAGACAATAGAATCCACAACATATGTGTAATATGTGGAAACATCAACTGAAATTCTTCCCAAAGTATGTCAAACTCAAACAATGACAAATGCTCCACAATTCAATAAATATTAAAAACATAAATATTATGTCATATTTCAACAAAACACCAACGATAATGCAAAATTGCTACTGTAGCTCAATTCAAACAATAGAACCACATTACATGTGTAATCGTGGAAACACCAATTTAAATTATTCCCAAAACATGTCAATCTCCTGTAATGTAAGATAAGAAATATATATTAACGATGATTGAAAGTAACAAATATATATTTTATTGAATTATGGCTAACAATAATCAATACAAGATACAAATTAGAAGAATGAATATACTTAACTCACTAACCTTGAATGCTAAATTTTAGAAACTTTGCTTCTACCATCCGAAATATCTAAAACATCATCATCATCAATAGAATTTTTCCACTTTCATTTTAAGTACTTCTCCACACAATTCTTCTATATCAGGTTCAAATGATGCTATCCAACAATTAATAAATGTTAATATATCAATAAAAATGAATACAAAATTACTTAGTTATATAAATTATATCTATAATAGTTACCTTGTTCAAATAGCCAATCCCTAAGACAAATAAGTGATTCCACTGTAGATGGGTTTAATGAACTTCTATAGGCATCAAGTACCCTCCCACCAATACTAAAAGCTAATTCCGAAGCCACAATGGAGATTGGGATAGCCAAAATGCCTCTAGCCATCCGAGCAAGGATTGGATAAGTCATTTGACAAGTTTTTCAATATTCCAGAACATTTATGTCACTTGTGCGGGCTAATCTTGGCTCTTTCAAATATTTTTTCATCTCTGATTTACCACAATAAGTGAATTCCTCGCTATAAAAAGAATCAAAATCCTGCATGCAACAAAAATTAAAAATATATTTTATAAACATGAGCTATAATATAAATTTAAAATAGATAAGTATAAAAATAAATGATAGAATTACCTTCATAAAACCATCATCAACAACTTGTTCATCCGACATATGAGAATGAGACCCATGAGCATTTTGAATATCACTAGTTGAAGAAGTTGAAGATGAATATTCATTTAACAATCTGAAAAGTTTATCTTTGAACAACTCCAACTCAATTTCATAATCCACCTCAAAGATCTTCTTAAATGCCCAATCAATAACTTGATATTTATACCGAGGGTAAAAAATAACAGCAATGCCCATAATAGTACTAAACTGAGCCCAATACTTCTCAAACTTTCCAAACATTTTCATAGACATATTCTTCATAAATGTATCTTTACTTTTCATCTCCTCATTCAAAAGTAGTCTCACCTTTACAATGTTAGGAAAGTACAAGTTAGTTGTTGGATACTTAGAACCCGAAAAAATACAAGTAACTTCATGAAAAACTTTTAAAAACTTGCAATTTTTTTCAATCCTCATCCATTCATCCACACTTGGACAATGAACAAAATTTGCATCAGTCTTTTGCAAATGTATAAAGGCTTTCCTGTAATACAACACACTATCTAACATCTTATAAGTGGAGTTCCAACGTGTAGGAACATCTTGCCTTAGACCTCTAATATATTCAAGTCCAACATGTTGCATACAATGAAAAGACTTTTGTTTTCTACCTTGAGATCCTTTGCAATATTTGACATTTTCCTTTACTTTAACAACAGCTTCATCTACATCTTTCAATCCATCATGTACAATCAAATTTAATATGTGCGCACAACAACGAACATGGAAATGCTCACCATCAGATAATAAATCCAAATCAAACTTTAACCCATCCACTAAAGAATCATTAAAAGAAGCATTGTCCAAGGTAATAGACACAATTTTCTTTTCAATGCGTCATTCTTTCAATAGATTGCATACCTTTTCAGCTAAAGCAGCACCGGTATGGGGAGGCATAAGAGTGAAAGCCAAGATTTTTTTTCTCAAACACCAATCAACATCAACAAAAGTGAGCAGTTAATGAAATATAGCTATCAGTAGTAATAGAAGTCCAACAATCAGAAGTAAATGCTATTCTACCGGGAGCTTGTTGCAACACATCAGAAAGTTTTTATTTTTCTTTTGCATACATCTTTAGTATGTCAGCTTTTATGGTATTTCTTGAAATGATCTTAGTTTCAGGGCACAAATAAGTGAAACAATTTCGAACACCTTCGTACTCAACAAATTGAAGAGGGAGATTGTACCTAGCAATAGCTATCGCAAGTAATTCACGGAAGACCTTAGGTTGAAACTTAAACCCTTCAGAATCTACTGAACTTGAAGCATTAGATTTCAAGAGTAATTGCCCAATATCTCTAACAAAATATTTTTTACAAATCTTTATATGCCAAAGCAGATTACCGGTTCCATAGGTACTTTCAGCAACATATTTACTACCACATTTTTTGCATTTAGCCATCATATGCCCTTGATCATCAGGTTTATCAACAATATCAAAAAAATACCATACAATAGAAGTAATTTCCTTTGGCGTTTGACGGGATTACCTAATCCAATGGGTTTATATATTTTTGACGTAGTTTGTGTTGTCCGTTGTTTAACTTTCTGTTTTTGTTTGAGTGCAACTTGTGCTGCTTGATTATTATTGACTTCCTCAACCTCCTCACTGGATTCAAGTGGCTTAATA